GAGGCAGGCTGAGGCTGAGGCTGAGGCTGATGCAGGCTGAGGCTGAGGCAGGCTGAGGCTGAGGCCGAGGCTGAAGGCAGACTGAGGCTGAGGCTGAAGCAGGCTGAGGCTGAGGCTGAGGCAGGCTGAGGCTGAGGCTGAGGCAGGCTGATGCTGAGGCAGGCTGAGGCTGAGGCTGAGGCTGATGCAGGCTGAGGCTGAGGCAGGCTGAGGCTGAGGCCGAGGCTGAAGGCAGACTGAGGCTGAGGCTGAAGCAGGCTGAGGCTGAGGCTGAGGCAGGCTGAGGCTGAGGCAGGCTGAGGCTGAGGCTGAGGCTGAGGCAGGCTGAGGCTGAGGCTGTCACTGCGACTGCCGTTGCCACTGCGACTGTCGTCGCGAATGCGACTACGACTGCGAGAACAGCATAATTCTACAACTGGATTCTCATCTGAATCTTAAGGGGAATGCTTCCAGATATGCTCCTACACATCGCTGCTAGGTTGGTTTGCCGAGATCATTTGAAATCGCTGCGAAGCCGAAGGTTTCTGAAGGATGTCGGCACGCGCGCGCGCGATGACGCGCGCGCGTGCACTTCGCTTCATTCGTTGCAAAGGGTTCTCGCGACGGCGCGCGCGCAAGGGCGTTCGAGCGGGTTCGACGCGCGCGCGAAGCCCTTTAGGTAGCATGCCATGAACATTTGAAACACATTTGGTCGTTTAAGAATTCGCATGAACGCGCGCGCAAGCTTTTTTTGCAGATCCGCGTTATGAAATATTTAGACATATGTGTGTATATATATATATATATATATGTATGTATATATACATATACATATACATATATACATACATACATACATACATACATACATACATACATACATGCATGCATGCATGCATGCATGCATACATACATACATACATACATACATACATATATACATATGCAATAAATGCTTGTTGGGTGCTCGATTTTGACATCTGGATGGCACCGAAGGCTGTTTGAAGGATTTCGGCGCGCTCGCGCGATAACGCGCGCGCGCACTTCGTCCCACTTGTTTGCAAGGGCTGATGATTTTGATAAGCGAGTGCGCGCTTAGTGTTTTTTGCAGAGGATGGCGATGGCGGGGGGGGGCGGATACCGGCTCGGCTGGGATGATGCGGATTTATATTTGGGGCAGAATCACATGCAAATTGCAATGCGAAAAGGGGGCCGATAATCTCCGGGGGGGTATTTTTAATAAGGATTTTTTACATGCGAGTTGACACGTTCCATGCTCTTGCAAACATCCTACTCACCCACCCGCAACTTGGTCTGCAAAACCACTCGGCGGCGATTGCGATGAGCGCTCGGCGCTGGCTCGTGCATCTCTGCGGCCGTGCATGCTTGCGCGCGCGGCGGCCAGCTAGTTTTGCGCGACCGACGCGGCCGCGGTGGCGCTGACCGTTTGGCACATCCCAGCGAGCACTTCAGTGCGAGTTGGTGATTTGGGCGGTCGCGGTATCCTGGCGATGCCGACAACGGTAGACACAATTGTGAGAGTAGCGATGATGGTGACGATGGTGGCGATGACGACGGCAAGACCAATGACGGCGTCGATGTTGATCACACCCCCCGATAACGATGACGACGTCCTCGCGTCGTGATGCAGGTTTTTGAAGGAGTTCGACCTGCGCGCGCGGCCGACGCGCGCGAGTTGCCCGCGTGGCATTATTTGACACGAGTCGTGCCCCCCCACCCCCCCCCAACATGCGCGCAAGGGCTTTCGAATGAGTTCGACATGCGGCGCGGAAGGCCCGCTCGGCAGAATGTGATAAGAATGTCAAAGAAACCCGCAAGAGCGCGAGCGCAGGTTGTTTGGTTGAGAACTGATGTTGCAAAATTATGTGTTTTGATACGTTTGCGGGGTACTCGATTTTGAAATCCTTACGAAACCGAGGGTGTTTTTTCGAAGGATTTCGGCATGCGCGCGCGACGACGCGCGCGCGCGTGCACTTCGTCTTTTTTGGCAAGGGAGTCTTGCGATAGCACGCGCGCAAAAGGCGTCCGAACGATTTCGACACGCGCGCGCGAGAGGCCCCAATTTGGAAACATGTTTGTTTTTCGATGAAAATGTTTGTAGTACAACAAAGATTCGCCACAGCGAAAGGGCACACCTTGTTTTGAACATTCTTGTGGCGAGGCCAAATGTTTTAAATGTACCCGTGACATTTTTTTTAAAAGAAACTGAGATTTCGCAGCGAAGCCTTAGTTTCCCCCCTCTGATTTCGACACGCGCGGTCGACGACGCACGCGCGCGTGTGCACTTCATGTTTTGCAGAGTTTTCTCCCCATATCCTAAGATGGGGTTCTCGTTATTATTTGGACGCCCCCTTCAGTAAAGCTGAGAAGGCGGCTAGATCCTCCTGATGTATTGAACTCGCTTCGCGATCGGTCTTATCTTATCTTACCTTCTCCTCCCGTCTCCTCCTCATACCCAGACTTCCTCATACACAGACTGACTCACGCTCAGACTTACTCATACCCAGACTTACTCACACACAAAATTATTTAATCGCTTCGCCACTTCCGCCGGCCCGTATTGTGCCATCGCAGGCGTTTGCTTGCGCCTTCGTGGCCTCTTGGAGCCTCGGTGGGGCCGTTCGGGGCCTCTTGGCGCCTCTTTTTAGGCCTCTTGGAGAACTCGGGAGGCCTCCAGGGGGCCTCCTGAGCTCTCGTGACGGTCTCTTGGGGGGCTTTCGGCGGGCTCTTGGCGGTATTTGTTGGTCCTCTTGGGGCCTGGGGCCTGACGTTGTTGGTCCTCTTGGGGCCTCACGGGAGCTTATTGGGGCGTCTTGGGGGTGTCTTGGAGAGTCTCTTGGGGCCTCTTTCGGGGTCCTGGGCGCCTTCTGGGGCGGAGGGCTCGATTTTTCAGTTCTCGGTTCCCTTCTTGAGCCCCTCTTGGGCCCGTCTTGGGGCCTCTTGGTCCGCCTTGGGCAGCACTTGGGCCGTCTGGGGGGCGCTCTTGGGCCGCTCCGGGGCCGTCTTGGGAGCCTCGTGGGCCGTCTTGGAGCAGTCTTGAAGGCCTCTTGGGCCCTCTTGGAGCGTCCGGAAGCGAAAAGGCCAGAACGCAAAAAAACATAGAAAAAAACAAATGAAAATCAACGATTTTGGCAACTTGGGGCCCTCTTCGGAGGCCTCTTGGAAGGCCCTTGGAGCGTCTTGGAGGCCTCTTGGGCTGTCTTGGGGCCATCTGGGGCGTCTTCGGGCGATCTTTGGCCGTCTCGGGCCTCTCTTGGACCGTCTAGAAAGCTTCTCGGGGCCCTCTTGGACCGATCTGGAGCCCTCTTGGACTCCGAAACAGAACTCCGGCATCTCTGACCCGACCTTGCCGGGGACTTGCCGGGGACTTGCCGGGACCTTGCCGGGGTACTTTTCGCCCGGGGACCCCCAGGGGCCGCCCCGCGCGCGCGAATTAGAAATACTGTTAACCAGGTACCGGAGATCTTAGCACGCCCTGGCCCGTTGGGCCGGCGAATTCTTACTCAGACCTACTCATATTCAGATCTACTCCTACTCAGATGAGCAGATTTGGAGGATGCCTCGAGCGAGGCGCTCATTTTCAGCATCCCTAAGGGGAGCCGCCAGGGGTGTTTTCACGGTCCGTTTCGCGGCCGTTTTGTGTGGATGTTTCAAGCGGCTTGCCTGTTTTCTGTCCCAACATCCTTCGCTTTCGGAGCAGATTTGGAGGATGTCTCGAGCGAGGCGCTCATTTTCAGCATCCCTCAGGGAAGCCGCCAGGGGTGTTTTCACGGTCCCGTTCGCGGCCGTTTTGTGGGGATGTCTCAAGAGGCTTGCTTGTTTTCTGTTCCAACATCTTTCGCTTCCGGAGCAGATTTGGAGGATGTCTCGAGCGAGGCGCTCATTTTCACCCCCCAGGTGGGCCAGATTTTGAGGATGTCTCGATCGGTGGCCAGACTCGTGGGCACAGATCCTCCTCAGGATGCCACAGGAGGCTCCAACAGGCTCCATGAGGCCCCATAAGGCCACATGAGGTCCCAGGAGGCATCAGGAGGCCACAGAAAGACTCAAGAGGCCACAGGATGTCCCAAGAGGCTCTAGGAGGCCCCAGGAAACTCTGGGAGGCCTCAGGAAGCCACAGGAGGCCCCAGGAGGCCAGAGGAAGCGCCAGGAGGCCTCGGAAGGCAACAGGAGGCCCCGAGAGGCCCCAGGAGCAGTCCTAAGCGTTCAAATGGCTAGACGCGCATTCCCAGATCCTGCTGATAATTATCCTTTCAAAAAGATGCACATATGGGGATCTCCACGCAGTGAGTAATTTTGGAAAGCGAGTGATTTGTGATGCACGAAAGTCCGCGCATTTTTTTGGCAGAGGATGATGGGGGGGTGCGCTTTCCAGCTTGCCTGGGATTATATGAAATCATATTAAAGATGGACGGTGAGGTAGAATTATATGTAATTTGCATTACGAAAAAGTGTATTTTTAAACCCGGGTGGGGGGGAGATCCTAATGTTCTTCTAGAAAGGAAAGTCGATGTTGTACGGCGACGGGCGGCGACGAGGTGGCGACGGCGGCCACGTAGCCGCCATACCGCCACACTGGCCCAGACGACGGGCGGTGACGAGGCGGCGACGGGGCGGCGACGGCGGCAACATAGCCGCCAGAGCGGCAGACCGGCGCAGATAACGGGCGGCAACGGGGCGGCGACGGCAGCAACATACCTGCCCGAGCGGCACACCAGCCCAATTCCTCAGAACAGAAGTAGAAACCCTAGGTGCAAGCACTGTCTTGGGAGTCATCAGTCAGGAGCGAACGAATGACGTACACGTACACGAACCCACACGTTGATTTCGAGAGGACGCATAGCGCGAACGTTCGTATCACGCGGCCGGTCTCGCGGATTGGGGGGTGTTCGCGTACATGGATGGGCGCGCACGTCCTTTGTAGGCTCCCTAATCAGAACCCTCTTCGCCATCGCCACCACGCTATCTTCGCATCGTTTCCCTGATGATCGGCGCCCCAGGCTTCAACCGGGGCGGCGCCTCTGCTCATCCCGGTGGCGCGCGCTCTATCTTTGAGAGGGTTCTCGGAGGTGACGGGTACGTGCAGAGTATGGCCTGGCATCGTTCGGACGGGTGCACTTTTTCTCGGCGAGGGTCATTAAGGAGCCTATTGGATCCTCTTGCGGAAAAAGTGCGCGCACGAATCCCAAACATGCGCGGGTGATGGACGTCCGATCGATGGCAAGGTGAGGGGCGCATGTAGTATTACAGTTTGAATGTACATAAAGTTGTTGATGAACTGTTGCCGTTCCTTGAGATCACGTTCGGGCCTTCTGGGCGTCCAATTCGAAGTTTGAAAGGTTCGTGGCCTCATTTCTTGGCCTTGGTTAGAGGGGCGTCCCAGGAGCAGGAGGAAGAGGATGCGGGCGTTGACGAATGGCTGCAGGGACGAGAGCCGAGACGGGGGCCGCTCGCGCTGTGCGAGAGGAGGGGCGCGAGCTGTCTTATCGATTGCCACGCCGTCTTTTATCATTGCATCGTGTTGTGTGACGTCGCTCTGAGTCGACCAAGTTGACAGAGTCACCTTCCCCTCCCTCCCTCCCACTCCCCATTTTCATCCCTGCATGCATCTGTCGCTCCATCCCTCCACTCCTCTATCCCTCACTCCCTCCCTTGTCCTACATCCAATTCCCTCGCCTTCCTTCTTAGATATGAATATTGCAAGGCTTTGCAGGAGAAGCCATAACCTGAGGGCACAGAATCAACACCCTCCTACACTGCCCCCTGCACGATGGATTGGGTCAATCAGAACAGCGAGGACGCCGACAACATGGCCCCCCCAGCTCTCGAATGAGATCTAGAGGCCTCTTGGGAGCCTTTCGGAAGCATTTGGGGGGTTCTCCGATATCTAACTACCAGGGTAGGGAACCCTAGGCAGGTGATAACCCCTGGCCCAAACGAATTTCGGCCTTCCGATCTTCCTGGACGCATCTTCGTGGACCGAAGTTTGCGCAAATTGCAAGCGGCTATGGCCTCGTGAGCACGAAAGTGAAGTACGTTACTAGGGATTGTGGCTTCTGGAGCGCGAGCGTGGCGTGATTTACTAGGGTGTATGTTTCGAAGACGCAGACTTGTCGTATGTTATGTGGGATTGTGGCTTCGGGAGGGCGAACGCGTTGTGTTCTGTAAAGGTTTGTGGCCTCGGGCGGAATCCTATTGAATCCATAGGAAGTTGTGACCTCGGGGACGCAAGCATGTGGTACGTCTCAAAGGATTATGGCCGCGGGAGCGCGAGCCTGCAGCAACATTTAGTACCTTGCTACGGGTTGTGGCCTCGGGGGCGCGAGTCTGCTGTATTTTTGCTCGCCCACGGCTGCCCCCATAACTTCGTGCAACTTGATCCTGGGAGGGGAACCAGGTGGTTTTCGGGCTGGCTTCCTCGCGCGGACTTCACGCACCACGTCATTGGAATTGGAAATCAAACGTGCTATAACTATGGCGTTGGACAACGCTGGAAAGTGGAACTGTGGCGAGGAGCAGAACAGCCTAGTCCTCGCAGCCCGTTGGCCTTCCGACGAGGCCGGCGGACACGCATGTTTATTCCCCAAACAGCTTGCTGAACGGGGTGCTGTTGTGATACAAGCTGACTCCAGCCGAGGGAAGTCGGAGCAGAGACATCCTCACAAAAATTTGATGATCCGGGCCGCTTCGCTTGAGACATCCTCACAACTCTCGTTTCTGAGTTGGCCGGGACTGGCCGTTTCGCCTGAGACCTCCTCGAAAAGTTGCGCTCCGGGACGCCGCGCGAGAGGTGGTCCGGGCCGTTTCGCTTGAGACATCCTCGAAACTCTGAGCCCCGAGGTGCCGTACGAGAGGTGGTCCGGGCCGTTTCGCCTGAGACATCTTCGAAACTCTGAGCTCTGAGATGCTTTGCGCGAGGTGGTCCGGCCCGTTTCGCTTCAGACATCCTCGAAAATCTGACCTCGGAGATGCCGCGCGAGAGGTGGTCCGGCCCGTTTCGCCTGAGACATCATCGAGCTTCTGAGCTCTGAGATGCCCTGCGCGAGGTGGTCCGGCCCGTCTCGCCTGAGACATCCTCGCAACTCTGAGCTCTGAGATGCCGTGCGCAAGGTGGTCCGGCCTGTTTCGCGCAAGACATTCTCGCAATTCTGAGCTCCCAGATGCCGCGCAAGAGGTGGTCCAGCCTGGGGGCCCAGAAGACCACATGTTACATATCCTCCCTGGGACCCTGGGAGCCCGCTTGAGACATCCTCGAATTTCTGGGCTCTGAGATGCCCTGCGCGAGGTGGTCCAGCCCGTGTCGCCTGAGACATCCTCGCAACTCTGAGCTCTGAGATGCCGTGCGCAAGGTGGTCCGGCCTGTTTCGCACAAGACATTCTCGCAACTCTGAGCTCCCAGATGCCGCGCAAGAGGTGGTCCAGCCTGGGGGCCCAGAAGACCGCATGTTACATATCCTCCATGGGAGCCCCAGGAGGCTCCAGAGAGCTCCAGGAGGCCGCAGGACGCCCAGGACAGGCCCCAGGGGTCCCCAGGAGATTCCCAGGAGGCTCCCAGGAGGCCCCAAGAGGCCCCCTATCAGAACGTGTCAAGTTAATACGCATCCGGTGTCGATTCGTTGATTTTTCCTGCTCTTGTGCGCCCCCCTCCATTTTGAGGGGCCCAAACGGCCACATGTTAGGAGCCCCAAGAGGCTTCAGGAAACCCCAGGTGGAGTTCAGGAGGCCGCAGGAAGCCCAGGAGGAAGCCCCAGGAGGTCCCCAGGAGGCACCAGGAGGCACCAGGAGGCCCCCGCAACTCGGAGCTCTGAGACGCCGCGCTCGAGGTGGTCTGGCCCGTTTCGCCTGAGACTTCCTTGCAGCACGTTTCGCCCGAGGCATCGTCGCAACTCTGGGGTCCGAGATGCCGTGCGCGAGGTGGTCCAGCCCGTTACGCTGGAGACATCCTCGCAACTTTGGGCTCCGAGATGCCGTTCGGGATGAAGAGGTGGATGAGGAGGAGGAGGTGGAGGAGGCATATCTGACGTCCTACCCCTCCCTCCCATCCCTTACCATGGCGCTGATTTTCTCTATCCGCGGACTAGTGGGTGGTGGTGCGCGTGCGTGCGTGAGTGCGTGCGTGTGTGCGTGGTTGTGGTGCTGGTGCTGGTGCTGGTGCTGGTGCTGGTGCTGGTGCTGGTGCTGGTGCTGGTGCTGGTGCTGGTGCTGGTGCTGGTGCTGGTGCTGGTGCTGGTGCTGGTGCTGGTGCTGGTGCTGGTGCTGGTGCTGGTGCTGGTGCTGGTGCTGGTGCTGGTGCTGGTGCTGGTGCTGGTGCTGGTGCTGGTGCTGGTGCTGGTGCTGGCTGGTGCTGGTGGTGGTGGTGGTGGTGGTGGTGGTGGTGGTGGTGTGTGTGTGTGTGCGTGTGTGCGCGTGCGCTGTGGCATGGCACGGGAAATGACGCCAGCGCTGCAGCGGGAGCACGAGTCGAAACGGGCGGAAGCGCGGAAATGAGGCCAGCGCTGCAGCGGGAGCACGATTCGGAACGAACGGAAGCACGGAAATGAGGCCAGCGCTGCAGCGGGAGCACGATTCGGAACGAGCGGGGCCCGAAAATGAGGCCGGCGCCTCGGCGAGAGCAGCACTTTGAAAAAACACACCAGCGAAAACCCGTTTCCCGGGAATCCTGTGTGTAAAAAAACAATACGCGGGGGGGTGTCGGATATCTTCGGGACGCCATCAGGGGAAGTGGGAGAGTATTTTCATATTGTGTAATTGTAGAAGGAGGCGGAGATGGAAGGGAGAAGGAGGAGGCGGATGATGTGCATGAGGGGGCAGGCAGGAGGAGGGGGAGGAGGAGGAGGAGGAGGAGGAGGAGGAGGGAGAAGGAAGGGAGTTGCAGGAGAGGACCTAACGGGAAGCGAGTGCGACGTGGACTTGTCAGAACGTGTGCGAGAGATTGTCCGGCCCGTTTCGTTTGAGAGATCCTTCCAATACTGAGCTCCAAGATGTCGCTCGCGAGGTGGTCCGGCCCGTTTCGATTGAGCCATCATCACAATGCGAGGCTCGAAGATGTTGCGCGCGAGATGGTCTGGCCCGTTCTGCCTGAGACGTTTCGTAGCACACGGGTTCCAATCACAACCTTTCTCATTCCTTTTCCCGCCTCCCTCTTCCCGCTTCCCGCCTGGCTCCTCTTCCCTCCTCCCTCATCCCGCCTCCCGCCTCCCGCTGCTGCGCCTCTGCCTCCGCCTCCCCGTCCCCGCCGTCGTCGTTTCCGTCGTCGTCGTCATGCGCGCACTGCCTTCTGCCCTCCCCAGACATCCGACGTCACGATTTTTCTTTTGAAACGTGCGCCGCGTACCTCTCGATATCATCCCCGGGGGAACCATCACGACATGGCCCCCCGCTTCCGCGCCATCCCCCGCTTCCTCTTAAAGTTGCTTATGAGTTCACAGCATGGCGGTGGAGCCTCTCACAGTGCCGACCCGACAGCTTACTCGTCGACCAGGTGCGACCTGGGACATCCTCGCAACTCTGGGCTCCGAGACAGGGTTTCCCAAACAGGATTTTTCTTCCCCAAACAGCTTGCTGAACGGGGTGCTGTTGTGATAAAAGCTGACTCCAGCCGAGGGAAAGGGGAGCAGAGACATCCTCACAAAAATCTGATGGTCTGGGCCGTTTCGCTTGAGACATCCTCACAACTCTCGTTTCTGAGTTGGCCGGGATTGGCCGTTTCGCCTGAGACATCCTCGAAAAGTTGCGCTCCGAGACGCCGCGCGAGAGGTGGTCCGGGCCGTTTCGCTTGAGACATCCTCGAAACTCTGTGCCCCGAAGTGCCGTGCGAGAGGTGGCTCGGCCCGTTTCGCCTGAGACATCCTCGAAACTCCGGGCTCCGAGATGACGCTTGAGAGGTGGTCCGGCCCCTTTTGCTTGAGACATCCTCGCAACTCTGAGCTCCCAAATGCCGCGCGAGAGGTGGTCCGGCCCGTCTCGCCTGAGACATCTTCCAAACTCTGAGTTCTGAGATGCCGTGCGCGAGGTGGCCCGGCGCGTTTCGCCT